AGGTTGCTGTGAGCTGTGAAGCCACGGCCCTCTACCCAGGGGGACAGCTTGAGGCTCTGTCTCAAAAAAAAAAAAAAAAAAAAACTTTTAAACATAATAATAATGCCATTTGCACATTTTAAAAATCAGTAATTCCTTAATATTATCTAACATTACAGAAATAAATTATGGGAAACCTGAAAGTCCCCTATAAACTCTGCAAAAGACAATCATTGTCCACAGTTCAGGGGATTTTCTTTTACTCTATATACATGAATTTTTCTTTTGGCTCAGAAAATTGGTCTGGTCCCAGTTCCATCATATTTCATGTTAGGGGATTGGTCAGAAAAGTTATGATTGACGTGGAAAGGAAGAATGCTCAGACAAACAACCACTACAGCATTGGGCTTCTAGAAAAATCCAACAACTGGCTCGGCGCCCATAGCTCTGTGGTTAGGGTGCCGGCCACATACACCAGGGCTGGCGGGTTTGAACCTGGCCCAGGCTTGCTAAACAACAATGACAACTATAATTTAAAAAAAAATAGCAGGTGTTGTGGAGGGTGCCTGTAGTCTCAGCTACTTGGGAGGCTGAGGCAAGAGAATTGATTGGGCCCAAGAGTTTGAGGTTGCCGTGAGCTGTAACACCACGGCACTCTACTGAGGGTGACATAGTGAGACTCTGTCTTTAAAAAAAAAAAAAAAAAGGAAGCAAGAAAGAAAAGAAAAATCCAACAATTAATGCAATTGCTCAGACATTAAAAGTGCTCAGAAAAAAAGAATGCTCAGATAAACCACCACTACAGCACTGGGCTTCTAGAAAACTCCAGCAACTAATGCAATTGCTCAGACATTAAAATTAACACAGACCTCACTGTGCCCAGGCTCATCAGGAATTAGTCTAATCACAAAAGAAATTTTCTGTAAAAGAAAGCCTGACGATAAATACTGACATCACCACCTATAGCAACAACCACAAAGGCTGTGTGCCTTTTGCTATGAATTTCATCTTTCATTAAGAGTTTTCCTAGGAAAGATATCTTCATCTGTTTGTGTCCCACTTCCATAGATTTCTAAGCGCCAGTTATTAACTCTTTGACCGTTACTTCTGAGACACTCAGGATTTGCTCTACTTTGTCCTGTCTGGATTACCCTTGATTTGGCAATGGGGCAATTTGCTCTCCATCACCTTTCATAATTGCGTTAACTGTTTTTGACTTTAAAAACCAGCAAATTAGCTTTGTTTAGGTAATTCCTTATCTCTCTCAAACATTTAGAAATCTTCAGGAGGATCAAAATACAGTAGAACCTCTACAGTGGACCACCTCCCTACATTGACCACCTCCTTAATTCTCATAGACCAGACATGCACCACATGTGCATACCAGTACAGTATCCTAGTTCCTTGCACTGATCACCTCTGTATGTGGACTAGTTTGGTACGTGAATTTTACATTGTTTGTCCTAACTTGATTTTGTCTTTGCTTTAAAAGTGGTCAATTTGGCTCAGTGCCTGTGGCTCAAGTGGCTAAGGCGCCAACCACATACACCTAAGGTGGCGGGTTCGAATCCAGCCCAGGCCCACCAAAACAACAATGGCTGCAACCAAAAAATAGCCGGGCATTGTGGCAGGCGCCTGTGGTCCCAGCTACTTGGGAGGTGGAGGCAGGAGACTCACTTGAGCCCAGGAGTTGGAGGTTGCTGTGAGCTGTGATGACATAGCACTCTACCCAGGGCGACAGCTTGAGGCTCTGTCTCAAAAAAAAAAAGTGGTCAATTTTTTTTTGTGTGTGTGTGTGCGTGGACACACAGAGGTGTGAGGTTGAGTAGAGAGGGATATGGGAGTGTGTTTGTGAAACTAGCTCTCAGTTTGTCTATGAATTTCACTGCTAGTTTCCCTCCTGCCAGAGAAAAACTATGAAAAATAAATTTATAACATCCCAAATCTTACTTAATAGTCAGGTCACACCAATAGCTTCTCAGCTATAGAAGATTAAAAAGTAGGAATCTCACCTTTTGAACTGAATTTTTATTTATATCAACTTGAACGTCATTAACATTAAATTGGCTACTTTTTGGTTGTTCCTCCTGTTCCCTGGCCTACCCATCTCAGTTTTTCATTTCAAAGCCTTTAGATAAGAAACCATGGAAGAATAGTCTGTGTCTTTATCAAATATTGTTGCTACACAAAATAATGGAATGACTTCACATCATACATTACTGAAATAATTATTCAAAGTAGCTTATTTCACCATTCAACTTCAAATTCGTTTTTATTGTTTTACAGTTTTTTTTTTTTATTTGCAGTTTTTGGCCGGGGCCGGGTTTGAACCTGCCACCTCCTGTATATGGGGCTAGCACCCTACTCCTAGACCCACAGGCACCACCCTCAACTTCAAATTAACCTGTTGCTTTCCATTGAACTTTGTCCTATCTTTCCTCCACATTTATAATTGCATCTCAATTTTCTATTACATATTAATTTCAAAACATTGAGTTCTTTTAGGGTGGTAATCATTCTTCCATTAATTCTCATTTTCTACCCTACAGTCTGGGCCACAATTCTCTTTGACATCATCATTCACAACTACAGACAGAATTAGCTTTGGTGGTGGATGTATGTGGGATTGGCACAGTTGGCCTTGCATACGTGCTAGGTCAAAAAACAAACAAGTGCTTCCTCAAAAATGTAAAAACAGGGGTGGCTCCTATAGCTCAAAGGAGTAGGGCACTGACCTCATATGCCAGAGGTGGTGGGTTCAAACCCAGCCCTGGTCAAAAAAAAAGAAAAAGAAAATGGAAAAACACACAGACAAAGAGAGACTCAAATATATTCACTTGTCTTTAGCCTTTGGATACCTTATATGATGATATGTGATTTGCATGGATAACTATTTTTTCCCCAAGATTTGAAAACTTGCCATAGAATTTTAGCTACCCATTAGTTTGTGAATTATTCACAAAGGTGTTAAGAAATGGGAAGTGTGGCTCGGCGCCTGTGGCTCAAGTGGCTAAGGCACCAGCCACATACACCTAAGGTGGCGGGTTCGAATCCAGCCCGGGCCGCCAAAAAACAATAATGGCTGCAACCAAAAAAAAAAAAAAATAGCCGGGCATTGTGGCGGGTGCCTGTGGTCCCAGCTACTTGGGAGGCTGAGGCAGGAGACTCGCTTGAGCCCAGGACTTGGAGGTTGCTGTGAGCAGTGAAGCCATGGCACTCTACCCAGGGGGACAGCTTGAGGCTCTGTCTCAAAAAAAAAAAAAAAAATAGGAAGTGTTGTGGCAAGTACTGACCTAACAACAATCATAGCAGTTGTTCCCTAAAACATGTCCTTCCTCACAGTCTGACCCACACCAGCCCTCAGGCCAAAGCCTGAGCTCTCCTCTGCTTTTTCCCTTTCTACCTATTCTTGGTCTCAACGTCCTCCTTGGTTGGGTGTCAAAAGTGCTCAAGTCCCCTCAGATGTGGCCCAACACTTTCTGCATCCCAATAGATTAGATATAGATAGATGATCAATAGAGATGGTAGATTAGATTGATTAAATATAGATAGATGATCGCTACATGAAAGAT